TTATCTCAGAGTAGAACATACTGAACAGAGAATAGTACATGACTGAGGCAAAGGTTAAGGATTAGCTCTAACCACAGTGGCTTGTGGTCTACGAGAACCAAAGACTACAGAATTCTGGGGAGTTAATGCAGGAATGTTCATTTTGCTAGTTTTCTGTAATATGTTAAATAAAGATATATGGCTAGAAATTGTTTCTGGTAATGTCCTGAGATGAAATGATGGAAAAGTAAAATAAAGGAATTTGTACCTTTCCAGAGTAAGTAGGGATTATGGGGAAATCTCCAAAGCAAAGTATTCCTAGGGCACAGTACTGTGATGTCTCTGTAAGGAAATAGGTTTTTTTTTTTTTCAGTAAGTAAGAATTCTAAACTCCCAGGATTTGAGAAAAAATAGTAGTAAGCCCTTCAGTGAGGATGGATAAGTAGATCACATGGTCTTGACCAGTCTCCTTAAATTTTGCCCTCTCTGCCAAAGAAGGAAGCCAGGAGGAAGAGGAGGGAGGAGGAATGTAGGAAGAGGGAAGAACCTAAACTGTAATTCCATATATGGGCAAAAGATTCTTTCTTTGCTTCCTTAAAGACTAAGGAGTCAAAGCTGATAATAACCACTGAGCCAGGAAATCTACATTCTAAACATCACCTGCTCCTTGTGGCGTATAGTGCCCATCCTGTGGCTCCCTAAGAGGGAGAACAGGATGCTGCCTGTGTTGGTGAAGCCTGCTCCTTGGCCTACCCCCTAGTGAACATACCACTACAGCAAACAGGAATGCTCTCCCAGACACCTGGCTTTCTCAGTCCAACCCCAGAATGTCACCATCCAGCAATCTCTTCTTGGAATTGCTATCTAAAGGTATGCTTCTCTGTCAGGCAAAGTAGGTATTTTTTAAAATACTTAACTCATTTAAATACTATGTGAATTTTGTGTTACTGACCCTTCATAGAGGAGAGAAATAAGGTTCAAAGAGGTTTTAAAATAATATATTTTCCCCTTTGTGACACACCTAATAACAGGGAGCACTAGACCACAAACCTGTCCTATTGGACTCCAAAGCCATTCTGTTCCAAACCCTTCCATGCTTTCCAGTTTTAGCAGGCTATCTATCCTGGGAGGCTTTAGGCATTAATAGAGACAGAATCCCTTTCACTCTGAGTCTCACAGTTTTGAGAAGCTTCGTTATTGAAACATCTTGTTCTGAGCTGTGCTCAGGATCCAGATTCTGTCAGCCACTTGAAGACAGCTAACACAGTGAAGCAAGAATGTTGGAAACTGCCTTTTATACTGGGGCTCATGCGGACACCATCCACCCTCCTCAGAACCAGCCAATCTGTTGCCTATCTGCCTTCTGCAGCATCATTTAAGTTTTAATTATCTTCCAACTGTCTGAGCCGCTGTTGAGGACCTCAGAGAACACAAAGGATAGCGGTTATAGTTTTCAACTGTGGTCTTCTCTAATCACTGATGAAGTCACTAGCTGCCACTGCCCTTATTACCAGGTTAAATCAGAGAGTGACTCTACTGGAAAGAGTGCTGAAAAGGAAAGTCATTGTTGAACTTCACCTGTTTGGAATCTAAAGAAACAACCGCATCTACTTCACCTGTTCAGGAGTTAAGATGAAAATTGGCTTATTTTTTCAAAGGAAGTAAAAAAGAAAATTCTATTTCATCCTTATCCCCGGGTTTTTTGTTTTGTTTTAGTAACTCAGGTTATAACTTCTTTTCTGCTTTTGGGATGCTTTATTGTGAGTCCTGTTGAGGAATCTTGTCCAAGTCTAGAGTGGTACACCTCTTCACCCCCAACTAATTGTTACTCCTAAGCTCTCCAGGGTCTCTGAACTATTTTTCTTTTAATTTTATTATCTTTAAGTAGCTGTTCAAAGGAGTTGCCATGTAACAAAGCAGTTTATGAAGACAGTGCATCTTGATCAATGTCACCCTTTCAACATTCTCACTCCTCCCACCCAACCCATCCTTTCCTTCACTTTGCTTATTTTTATAGGATATACCTTGAATTCTTGACTGCATTCTCCCCACTTCTTTTCTTCATTGTTCTACCCCCTTCCCACCCCTTTCAAGTATGCATTTCCTGGTGCTTATTTTTGAACTTTGACTTTGCCTTTCTAAGTAATGACATTATTTGAGTTCTCCCTTGAGTCGACCATATTTCAGCTAATATATTTGTCTGTACTTGCTTAACACCCAACGTATTTACTCATTTTTTTTTTTTTTTTGCCAGTCATGGGGCCTGAACTCTGGGCCTGGGCACTGTCCCTCAACTCTTCAGCTCAAGGCTAGTGCTCTACCACTTGAGCCACAGCATCACTTCCACCTTTTTCTGCATATGTGGTGCTGAGGAATTGAACCCAGGGCCTCATGCATGTGAGGCAAGCACACTACCACTGAGCCATCTTCCCAGCCCTTTACTCATATGTTTATAAGCTAATTCTAACTTCCATATGAGGAAAGACATGCAACTTTGTCTCTCAGGGTCTGAGTTACTTCACTTAACATAATTTTTACCAGGTCTTAATTTCTCAGCTACCACCACCAGTCAATGAAGTTATTCATTAATTGAAACAATAAGCCATTCTATTCTGGAGTTTTAGTATAGGAGGAACTGCTTGAGAAGAGGGAGCCGCCTTCTTTCTTTTGATGCTACCATTTTAAATGTGCATTCAGTAAGGAATGTACTCCAGTTTTGTAAGTTATGCTATAATTTTAAAGAGACTTGGAAAGTATTATAGAAATAGAATAATTAAAGTGGTTATGAATGTTACATATAGTAGGCTAATCAAGAAGTGTGATATACAGTGGTGAACTGCTAATTTGACCTCAGCATTATGCAGTGGAGATAACATTATCTTCATATATAGAGAGAGAAATTTTTATCTGGAGACATTTCTCAGTGCTTTTCCAACCATATATATTATTTTGTTTATTCTCACAAACACTATCATTAAGGCTGTAAAATGTATTCCAGTGCATCTTTTTTTATTTTCAATTGCTTATAACCAGGGACACGGGGAGGGGAACGTTGCTTTTTTAAATTTTTTTTCACACTTACACTAGGGTAAAATTTGAGAAAGGACTATTATCTAAACTTAGAAAACTTGATTCCTTATAATGTTTTGAAAAGAAAGACAAGGAAGGAGGGAACTTCCCAGTATCCCCTTTGGTCTGTCTAGACTATATTTAATCTTAAGAATCACCCAGGGGAAAGGCCCCATTAGTCACTTCCTGACTCTTTGTGCACACTGGGAGAACTGTCTTTCTGTTGGTAGAGACTTGACCTAGGGAATAGGAAAATGATCTGATCAAATTCCACCAATCGTGTTCCCTCCAAGGTTGCAGACAACAGCACTCAGGCTGTCATGGCTCTGTGCGGTTGAAAATGCTACCCTGGTTAAGTTACTGTGGGTTTAAGGAAATGGACAAAATTAGATTTAGGCCGAGGTGCCAAATTGAATGCACCCCTTCCCTTCCAGAAAGCACCAAGGAGCTTGCTACTGCCATCAGTAAAACAACAACAACAACAACAAACAAGACAATCCAAACCACTCTGACCATTAAGAACTTCTTTAAATGACTCCACCTAGCTGAGTCCAGTGGAACCAGCCCCTTGTTTGCCCTTAAGGTTGATGAGATCAGGCCCAGCCTTTTACTTACCCCACAGGCTCTGGTAAGAGGGACAGTTGCTTGATTCTCAGCTCAGGAAGAGTGGTGTCTCCCTGCAGTAAGGATGAGCACACTGACAGCCAAGAGATCACATTAATATTGGTTATGAAGATGAGTGATCAGCTCATGTCAAGGAGCAGATGGCCTAATGAGGTACATAGGGAACACCATGAGATACAGCCTTGAAGAAACAGGAGGGAAAACAGCTCTTGATACCAAATCCCTAAATATGGTCTCCTTAATGGGAATTTTTAAAATTGGTTTTTACCTAATACAGTTAACTGAGAATGATGAGAAATATAAGAAATTACTGAATTAGTGAGCAGTGATTAACTCAAAAGTAAAATTATATCATCTAAACGGAAGGTTCTTTTACCCACAGAGGGAGGATATTACCAAAACCTTGCCTAGTCTGTCAAATCCTAATTGAAATCTGTTCATTTAATATGCCCTATCCTGAGTATATAGTTTATAATTTGGAAGAGCATTATCAGCTAATCTAGTTATTTTTCTTGGTTCTTCCTTTGAATTCCAATAAGACAGTGTGTGGTACATTCCCTGTGGAATTGTGAGGCTCTCAGAAGAGTGAGTTTGTCTTATCATTAACCTGTGAACTGTCAGTTCTGTTGGAGAGCGAAGGGAGCAAGTCACTCCACAGTAATGCTTGTTTGTTGGTGTTGATGTCTCCAGGGAGATGGGCAGGGTGAACAGGCCAAGACCTACTGGACAAAACTGCACTGTGTGCAGAGGCCAGATCTGTAGGGCCTGGAGGGAGGCTGCAGAGCAGGCTGGGCCCTCTGCAGATCACTTCCTCAGTTTAGGAGCAGAGTTCCCCACGGTCATTTGGGGGTAAAGGGACTGGCGTAAGTATGTAGGGTTAACTTTCTAATGGAACCTAGAAGCAGTCCTTAAAAGACACTGAGGTTTTCAGTGAAGGATATGCATTTTCCCTTTTGAACAGGGAAGCAATAGTGATTTCATGCTTTTGTCTCCAATGGATAAAATCTTCCCTTCAGCTGGGATGCATTTGATTTTGCCTCTGTTTGTGCATATGTGCAGAGATATACCCATATGCAGCCATTAGTTATTCTCTAGTACAAGTGTTTTGTGGGCATATACATGGACTGACATTCAATGTGATTTTCTAGGTACATCCAAGTTTACTTCATTATCTGGGACGTGACATCTCCCTGTGTTTGCTCTTTTCTTCTAGGTTTAGTTGGACCCAGCTCTCCTGGTTACTATGTGTTTAAATGGTATACCTTATCCTGTTATTTTTTGATTGGTTGGTGGAGCTCATTTTCAATAAGTTTTCTTTATACCTTCAGGTATATTCGAATAGTTGGGACTCATAACACAGTGAACAAGATCTTTCACATCGTGGCTTTTGAATGCATGTTTACAAACAAGACCTTTACTCTGGAGAAGGGGCTGATAGGTAAGTGTTAAAATTACATTTTTGTATATGGATTTAGATATTTTGTCTTCAGATACTTGTTATTACATTAATTCATCTTAATCTGTTCTAAGGACTGGGTAATTTGAATGTCTTATGGCTGAATGACAGAGATATGTTACATTCTTAGAAGCAATAAAAATAATTGCAGTAAACTTAAAAGAGTGTAAATATTATATTAGTAATTAAAATTGAAATATTTTAGTAATTCATCCAGATTTGCAGTGTAGGATTTGCTCTTGATAATCAAGCAAAAACTCTAACACCAAGGGCTTTTCTGGATTTAATAGTAGGTGAGATTGGTAAGGCTCCTTATGATATGAATTGGATGCTTACACTTTGTAGGGCTATGAGGGCATGTTGGCTTTTGATTTGATATGAATGGTATGCTCAGCTGATTTCATGGACAAGTCAGTCCATATTTCCATGCTTAGTCAACTTCACCACAAGAAAAATGCCTGCCTATAATTTAAATAAAACCAGAATAGCTGGGCTGCTGCTGCAGAAATCAAGTTGCTGGGTAAGAAATTCTCCCTGACTGATCTTTGGGAAGAGTATTCTTAATTTTGGATCAGTTGTTTGTTTTTCGTGGTATTTGGTTTTGGTTTTATTTTAGGTAATGCTTAATGGGCATTGTGTGCGCCTCATCCCAGGTCTTGATGTTTGAAATAGCATGAGTGCTCTTTCCCTTCAGACTCCTTATTCCCTATATTCCTCTTCTTTCTTCCCTTTGCCCACAGGTTTTTACCCTACTTCAGCAAAGATCACAGGTGGGCTAGTGAGGTCCTTGCATCTGTGCTTCTACTTCTGCTTCCTTTGAGAAGTAGCTCTCTATGTCCAGATGCCCCTGCTTGCAGAACGCCATATAAAATTCTGTGCCTTTGAGAAAGAACTTTTTATGTTTTTCTCAAGCCCTGTCCGTGTAGGGAACACACATCCACATTGATACATGTCATTAAAAACTGGTAGTGATAGAATGGGAAAAATGGGAATTTTGGCTCTAAATGTAAACTAAAAATTCCATCTTTGAACAGACATTGCCTATATTTTCCTAACACCTGTTGCTATAATCCTATTCTTATGGAAATTTTGGAGAGTAATATTAATATAGTTGTAAGAGTGGAAATTCTACTGCATAAAGAGCTTTTAGAACTCAGCTAAAGTAATTGTTTTGGTTTTAACTTTGTTATGGATGTAATTTTAAAAATTAGACCTCAATGTTAATTTTTGTTACTTTTAAGTAATTTGAAAACATGTTTGAAGCACTATGTGGTGTCATCCACCACCTTTGAAAGGCTGTTTAAAGGCGTGTGGAAATAGGCCTGTAGGCCAGAGTTCTTCTCCCACTGCCCTGGTGCTTCTGTAACCTGGGGCTTGCCTATGTGTGATCATGCAGCCAGGAGAGGCCTTGCTGAGAGTCTGAAGAACCAAGGTCTTTTTAATCCCAAGATACATAGCATCATCTCAACTCCATGGGCAGCATTTTTGAACATGTGATATTGAAGGTGCCATCTACTTATTAGTCTCCCTTCTTATTGAGGAAAAACAGGTTTGTGGACACTGCACAAACCAAAAAACAGGCCTGTCTTGCAGAGAGGCCATTACAAGAACAAAACTCAGTATGGACTGTAGTGAAGGAGGTGGCTGTTGGCTGCATGTTCTGTCCAAGCTGAACCAGTCAGCATTATCAGAAACCCTAATAGTCTCAGGAATGTCAGGTGAGGAAAGAAGAGTGTAGATATGCAAGAAGTATTCTTGTTGTCTAGCCAGGTACTTTTCTCTGAGCTCTTTTCTATGACTACAAAGAACACTGTAATCATCTACCTGTCATGGTCCCTCAACCGAATGGGAACAGTGGTGCAGGTAGGTAGCTCTCCAAGCACCTTTGCCAACAGATGGCCTGCAGTGGGAACCCCTTGGGTCCTTCTTGGGACCATCTTCACAGCTTAGAGCTGCTGTGTGGGGCAGAGAGAGAGGTGGTGTGAATGTGACAGATGCAGGGGATCACATTATCCTCTGTCTGACATTGCAGCTTTGTTTAGGTTGCAGAGGTGTTTGAAATGTAGTGGCCAGCTTTCCTTGTTGCTTATCTCATACACAGGCCTCTCAGAAACGAATAGTCTGCTAGTGGGGACTCAGGTATGTCAGGATTTATCAGAAGATTTGTTTATTTATTTATTTAGAGATGAAACCTCACTGAGTTGCTCAGGCTAACCTGGGCAATAATCCTTAGCCTCAGTTTTTTGTTTTTGTTTTTTTGGGTTGGTCATGGGGCTTGAACTCTGGGCCTGAGCGCTGTCCCTCAGCTCTTCAGCTCAAGGCCAGCGCTCTACCACTTGAGCTACAGTACCACTTCCGGTTTTCTGGTGGTTTATTGGAGATAAGAGTTTCACGGACTTTCCTGCCTGGGCTGGCTTTGAACTGCAATCCTCAGATCTCAGCCTCCTGAGTAGCTAGGATAACAGGCATGAGCCACCAGCACCTGACTAGCCTCAGTTCTTTAGATAGCTAGGACTGAACATGCCTCTGAGCACCCAGCTCAGGGATTACTTTACTCTGTAGATTCCCCTTATTACTCCTTCTACAGTCTATGAAATATTCACTCTCCCCTGAAAAGTAAAAGGACAATAATGTCATGAATAACTGGTAATCTTAATTTCTTTCTGTTTCTAGCTTTGGAACTTCTTCCTCTAATTATTGTCCTGTAGGCCTTGAAAATGACTTTTAGGGTATCTGTATTTTTAAGATCAGAGATTAGTGTTACGGCTTCAAGGACGTAATGCTGCATGAGCTATATGAGATTTTGGTGTTCTTTTCCTACCACAGGGCTTTATTATGTATCCTAGCTTGGCTTCAAACACACAAGCTTCCTGTCTCTGTCTCCTGAGTGCTGGGATAACATGCATGTACCACCCTCCTCCCACCCCATTTGATAACAGTATGTCACTCTACATACTTCTTTATTTGCACAGATTTGTGGAAGCTTTGAAGTCCTCCAGGTTCATATATCCTTGGGAATGAGTTCCAGCTATGTTTCCACTTGGGGGCCCCTTCTGGATCTGGCTGAGATGCATTGTGTTTAAGGCACATGTAGAAGCCCCCTAATCTGTCTTGCAAAGGAGGCATGGAGGCTATAGTTAGAACAGAAGACACTACGATGTTGTAAGCTTTTAACCTCCAAAGCAATGTATTTGTTAGCCTTGGCAATACAGTTTGTGATACATGCTGCACTTGCCAAGTTGTACTTTTTCATGAGGATTGCCATATTTCCCTTTTTTGTTGAATCTTGTGTTTACATTCACATCCTTTAATGTCTTACTATTCATACAGAGAATATCCCTATCAGCCTTCTTCAAGAACTGTACCTCACAGTCAACATGGTTTATCTTTCTGTGTCCTACTTCCTCCTCATGATAATATTTTGGAGTCAGTCACAAATGTTTTATTGTTTTATCTGTTCATATTTCATTATATATCTCTAAAATTAAGACATCCTTTTTGTAGCCATAATCATAGTTTCCCCTGGCCCAATTGTAATTAAATAGTAATTCTTTTAAGAGTTATTGTTAGATCCTGCACAGATAGCTCACACCTGTAATCCTAGCTACTCAAGAGGCTGAGATCTGAGGATTGTGATTGAAAGCCAGCCTGGGCTAGAAAGTCCAGGAGACTCTTATCCCCTGTTAACTAGCAGAAAGACAGAAGTAGGACTATGGCTCAAATGGTAGAACACTAGCCTTAAGCAAAAAAATCTCAGGGATGATGCCCAGGCCCCGAGTTCAATCCTTAGGACCAGCACCAAAAAATAAAAAAATTAAAAATAAATAAAAATAAATATAAAAAATAAGAAAAAGAAAAGAAAGAAGAAAATAAGAAACATTGCTAATTATTATTTAACTTTCCCCCATTGTTTCAAATTCTGGAGGAAGAATGTTTGTGTTGATAGGTTAATTCAGGGGGGAAAAAAGCAGGGCTGAGACTGTGTGTCTTGTACCAGTGCAAGGACCTACGTGTGGTCCTCAGCACAATCAAATTCAGATAAGTTCCATTTGCCAATAGTTATTACTCCTAAATCTCTTTAGATGTATAGGTTTCTTTAACTTTCTCCAGTTTATTGAGTTTGAACAAACTAGATTTATATACAGTAGAATTTTTGAAAGCCTGGATTTGAGTCTGAGTGCTAATGGTAATGTTTGTCATGGTCACCTATGTCTTTGACTTGATAGTTAGATGCTAAATCGGATTCAAGTAATTATTTAGTACTATGTCTCCATAAGCAGTGTTATATGTGTCCACCAGTAAGCACAAAAAAGCTATGTAGTTGTCCTTGAATGTTTCTGTCCATTGATTATTTCCTAGATTCATTTTTTCGTAATTTGGGATCACAAAATGTTTATATTCCAATTCTATCATTCTTGCCTTTTTTACTTACTAACTATAAAGAATAGCTAAAACTATATTCCTAAAGTATAGTCAAACATTCCACTACAGATTCTAGTGATCCTAAGATTCATTTTGCCCAGAAAAGGTAGGATAATTGTTAAATTCTTTTTATTTGCCCTTTGCAAATGCAGAAGTGGTTCCCTAGCATCCTTCAAAGATTACCAAAGAGGCTTGTTTGTGGGCTTCTTAAGGGGAACTGGATACACATTATTTTGAATTTATGGCATTAAACACATTTAGTATCTTTTAGTCATTTGCAATTACCGCTTTTCTTCTTCAAAATGTCTCATCTTTAGCCTCTTCAAATTGGTCCTTGAGCTCTTTTGATGTAACTTCAGAACATGGGCAGCTCTTTGATTTCTGTCTTAACATGATACACCAGGTTCATATTGCACATTTCTTGCCTTGATGTGGAATTACCCATTTATTTTTATTTTTTGGAAGTGCTGGGATTTGTACTCAGGGCATCATAGTAGCTAAGCAGGCACTCTACCACTTTAATCATACTTCCAGTCCTAATTAGAGATTTCTTTAAACAA